AAAAAAAAAAGAACTAGAAACCGAATGGGAGACAGAGGAACTGGAGAACCTTGGTGTTGACTTTGACCCCTGGCTGGGACAGAGACAGGGCAATTTCTAGGTGATTACCCCAAAAGTTTGCAATAGTTCCCCCAAAATCCCTATTTGGTAGCCTTGCTTCCTACCTCATATTTCATGCCATTAGGGAGGTAATGGAGGAACAAAGGTAAAGGAAAACAGCTTTTTATTGGTACCACCACCACATTCATTTAACAACTGCTGACAGAGGCTTCTCCAGGCCAGTCTTCTGGAGCCATAAACCAGACTAAGTTAAGAAGCCAGAAGAAGAGGAGGAAACCCCCAGTGTAGCAAGAGAGATGAACCTAGCTTCATACCCCTGGAGTTCTGAAGCCTGTGGACATGTGGACAGGAACTGGGTAGGAGAAATACAAACCCAGAGTTTGGGGTCTGTTAATGGGCTTCTGGAATTCCTTGGAGGGTATTCAGAAATGTCCAGTCAACTTCTGTGATGGAGAATTAAATCATGAAATGGACAAAGTTCTCTAATCTGGAAACATGGAGCATAGCATAGAATTGAGAAAAATGCTAAACACAGAGTATATCACTTTATACTTTCATATGTGTCTATCACTTCATTACAGTCCCTACAAGCCTGGGGCCTCTAAGAAAAAGACAAGAATGGTTTATTGAAACAGCACAAATCATTTGTGAAGAGTACACAGTTTGTCTTCCAGAAAGAGAAAAATCTCTCTTAAAGTTCTTTTACATACATATATATATATATTTATATACATATATATATATATATATTTGTAAAGATACTGTACAGAGGAGTTACAGTTACATGAACAAGGTAATAAGTCCTTTTCCTATTGAGCATTGTTACCCCCTCCTTTGTTTTTCCCCTACCATCCCTTTCCTCCCTACCTCCCTAACTCCTCCCTCCCCCCTCCTCTCCCCCCCCCACTCCCACAAAGTTGTAATTCATTTTCAACATAGTGTCTTGTACATCTCGATGACAATGGGTCATCCTGTATCCTTATTTCAGCATTTTGTTATTTCTCTTCCCCTCCCCAAATCAGAAAAATGTATATACAAGATGCAGGATACTGAAATTAAATACAGTGACAACAGTGGTTACACCATGGGGGAAGAACATTCAAGAGAAGCAAAAAAAAAATCACATACTACATTATAAGTATATCTTAAAGTTATTTTTAAAACTAATACCATTAAAATAAATATTCCTTAAGTAAATGTTCCAGGCAATAGACTAAGGGCTTCTCCACCTAGTCTTTATTATTTTTGGTGTCAGTACTGGAGCTTGAACCCAGGGCCTGGGCTTTTATGCTCAAGGCTGGTGCTTCACTACTAGCACTATGACTCTACTTCCAACTTTTCACTGATTAATTGGAGATAAGAGTCTCATAGACTTTCTTGCTCAGGCTGGCATAGAATCATGATCCTTAGATCGCAGATTCCTGAGTATCTAGGATTAAAGGAGTGAGCCACCAGCATATGGCTCTAGTCACTATTACTATGAACACTTTGTAGGCAAGGAGTTGAATTTTGGAGATTATAAATATTCCCAAGTTCACTCAGACAGGAAGGAAGAGGACTGAGATTCTACTCAAGGCTTCTGGTAGCCAAGTTTACTTTGCTAATCTCTAGCAAATATCCACCCTTCCCCCTCCCCCCACCCATCACAGTGAGCTCTTCCAGGTCACAGGCTACCCCAAGTCTGCCATGTTCAAGATCAAGTGTGTTCACACAGCACAGCTATTTCTGAACTAACCATATCCTTCTGGCTTAATCATACAAACAAAGATTGTGCATTAATATCTTTCTTCCTCAGAACTAGAAAGCCTAAAATCAAATATGTAACTCACCTACCACTAGAGATCTATAACTTCAATAACAACAGCTAACATTTGAGTCTTTAGCTAATGTGACAGACTGGGTACTGGGAGTTCTACTTATATTTATGGTTTCACGCTCATCCCAAG